CTGTCATTCCCCGGGCGCTCTCCTGGACGGCTTGCTTGTTACAGTCCCCTCCCCCCATTTTGGCCTTTTGAGAGTGTAAAGGGCTCCCCAAATTACTTTGTAGGGTTTTTTGAGATAAAGACACCTGTTCCTAAAAGCGAAGGGTTCATACTCAACATGGAATGAAATCAGGCTGAGGTTCTGCTGCAGGGTAGCAGGTATCAAACTTGACCGCATCAGAATCAGGCAAGAGCGCGTTATGACAGGCCGGCTGGGCTCCCCCGCTGAGTGGGATTCCGCGCAGCCGGTTTGCAGGCAGAGAACTGCATTTGGAACGCGTTCCAAGGGCGGTGATGCTGATGTTGGTCCAGGGGATGCACTTTGAGAACATGAAGCGTATTTCTCTGATGCGCTAACTTCTTATCTTGGTTTAACAGTTTATAGGAAATCATTTATAGCTGGTATATTTGTGGGGCTGGAAGGCCAGGGCGCCAAGAAAGGCTGAAGGGGCTTCTGGGTCCTTCTTGATACCAAGCGACCTCTATTCGGTTGCCAGGACAACCGGTCAGGCTTGCCGTCACCATGGCCCTGGGCTGCTGTTGCACTGACTCCTCCTTGAACCCCCTCCCTGAGCACGTGTGCGTGTCGAGGGGCGGGGTGGATAGAGGTGTGTGGCTGGCGGCGGAGGTGGGTGGTGATTGCAGACACCCCTGTCCGCAGCACCACGTTGACACAGTAGCACAAGCATAAAGGAGGCAGGCTGTTAGAGGGCCCGAGGCTCCTGCACCCGAATCCAGCCCCTCCCCCAGGGGCACAGCCCAAACCCCATCTTCAGCAGCCCTCCGTGTTCAGATGCCAACACCTGACCCCTTCCCGGGGCCCTGGCCTGGTCGCCGCCACATGCAATGCCGTGGGGGGACTGGGGTGGGTTGGAACCTCCCCTTGCCCCAGCTGTCCCCGGAGATATGAGGAAGATGAGGGCCTGCATGAGGTCCCCCAAGAGGTAAAGCAAGGACAGAGCTCAGGGCAGTGCCACCCCTCCAGCCACTGTATCCCAGCAAGGAGAGAGAGGTGGTGGAGCTCTCCTGCCCCCTGTGGGTCTCTCCCTGTCACCCAGCCGACAGCTTCCCACGTGTGATTTCTCTGTAGGCCTGGAGGCTTCCAGAGGTGGCTTGACCACTCCACCCAGTGGATCTCGCAACTCCCCTAAAATCAGGGGGTCTGGAAGAACGTGAGACTCCATTATCCCCAGTCTCCCCACACCCTCCCGGTCGGGGCATCGAAGCCTTCTCAGACCGCTTGGAAAGGGAGAGGCTGCACTTGGCATTCCCGAGCTGCCATTGGGCCACTGCCAGGCCCGGGGTTTAGGCAGGGGGCGGGGAGAGCTAGGGAGGGTCCAGCCAGCTGCAGCGTTTTGGGGGGAGGGTGTGTGCTTGAGGTTTGAGGGAGAGCCCCTCAGACCACTGGCTGGCCCCTGTCCCGGTCCCTGCAGAGCCTCTCCTGGCCATGAGCTGGCACACGGCCTCATGTTGGACACGCTGGAGCCTCTGTCCTCTGAAGCACCACCAGCCACTGTCCTGGAGCCAAGTGACACTTACGCAGGCCCGTGGGGCTCAAACAGGCTGCAGAGGTGTAGCAGTAGCCCAGGGGGGCAAATTTACCCCAAAAAGCTCCAGGCCTTCCAGAAAAAGCAGTCACCAGGCCCAGGCATGCGCTCCGCGGCAGACACAGGCCAGAGCTCTGCAACTTGGCTTTGAGTTAAAGTTCACCACGCTAGTCTGTAGGCTTGGGTAATGAGGCCTGGGACGCGACTCTTCTGCAAACGGTGCAGTCTGAGGGGGGCCGGGGCCACAGAATCACGTGAGAGCTGCAGCCCCACCAGCCACAAAAGTCAGTCCCTGAAGGCATCGGTCTGGAACAGTAAGGCTCCTCAGAATGTCCCTTCATAAAAAGCCACATACAAGTGGCCGACAAGCGTAATGAAAGATGCTTAAAGCCAGTAATCCTCAGAGCTGTACAGATCACAATCACAGTGAGACAGCACCTCATAGCCGTTAGGGTGGCCTTTATCAAAACAGACCAAGTAGCAAGCGTCAGCAAGGGTGTGGAGAAATTCGAACCACCGCGGGCTGTCAGCAAGATCGTAAAATGGCACAGCTACTATGGAAGACGGTATGGAAGACACAAGTCAACAAATTGGAACTAGGACTGACACATGTCCCCCAGCAGGGCCCCTTCTCTGTATAAATAGCCAAAGGAATTGAAGGCAAGGTCTCAAAGAAATTAACTGCACTCTCATATTCATCACAGTATTATTCGCTGCAGCTAAGGGGTAGCAACCACCCAGATGCCCATCAAGGGATGGGTGGGTAAAGATAATAGTAAATTGTGTTTTCTTACCGCAATAATAGAAATGAAAAAGGGGTGGGGGTGGGGGCTGCGAAGGTCAGTTAGTTCCGATCTTCCCAACTCACAGATGAGAAAACTGAGGCCCAGAGAGAAGCCTGTCGCCCAGGTACACAGTCCTGGCAGCTTTAAATCAGGGCAGGCTTAGCAGATTGTAGACAGTGACACAGCAGAGCAGTGTGTACGGCCAGTGTGTGGCTAGGCTCAGGCGAAATGGTCACAGCAGGAGCCAGCTTTTAAGAGATGGCCGCCTATACCAGGAGCACTTAGAGAGGCCCGAGTGCGTGATCTAGAAAACTCACTAAGAGGAGCAACTCCTGTATGGCTGCCGTCAGTTAACCACCCTCTCCCAACTCCAAGAGCCAAAGCCCTGAGCCCCCTCCAAAGACCCCCCCATGCACCCCCAGGAGACTGAAGAGCTGGGGTGGGGGCAGCTGTATCCACGTAAAAACATGGGAAACCAATCTAGATGAAAATGCAACTCTGTCACTGCCTGAAACTCAGTTTCTCATCCCTGGGAAACAGGTCTAATCCAGTGCCCAGCACAAGGCAGGTGTCAGGTAAAAGGATGCTGGCTCTGGGGCACCCGGGCAGCTCAGCTGGTTGAGTGTCCGACTTTGGCTCAGGTCATCATCTCGTGGTTCATGAGTTCGAGCCCTGGATCCGGCTCGCTGCTCTCCGCCTGTCAGCGTAGAGCCCGCTTTGATCCTCTCTCCCCCTCTCTCTGCCCCTCCCCCACTGACACTCTCCCCCAAAAAAAAAAAAAGGATGCTGGCTCCGGAGCTGGGCTCATCTGCTTCTATCTGGGGCCACCATTTCCTGGGTGATCTCTCGGTCGAATCACCCAGGGATTCGTCTGTAAAATGGGGAACAGCACCTCCCAGGATGGCCCTGAGGGTTAAATACATTAGTTCAGTTGGAGGGCGTGGAACCAGCCCTGGGACTGATATTAGTGCTCGAGTATCGGCTACTGTTTTTTGTTTTTGTTTTTTTTAAATATTTTTATTACTACTTATTTCTAGGAGAGAGAGAGAGACAGCGTGAACAGGGGAGGGTCAGAGAGAGAGGGAGACACAGAATCCGAAACAGGCTCCAGGCTCTGAGCTGGCAGTCAGCACACAGCCCGATGCAGGGCTCGAACCCACGAACCGCGAGATCATGACCTGAGCGAAAGTCGGACGCTTAACCGACTAAGCCACCCAGGCGCCCCAGGTATCGGCTACTGTTGGGAGATGCTGAGGCCAGACAGTGTGTCCCTTGGTCCCTCACACATACCGTTCGCCCACCACAACCCCGCCTGGGCCTGACACGAAACCCTGTCACAGGGGCAGGTAGGGCAAGTCCGGGGTGTGGGCCCCGCTGCCAGGGCTCTGAAATGTCTGGTGTCCCCTTGGCCCTGGGTGTGGCTTGTTCAGGGCCATGAAGGCTGGGGGCAGGGACAGAGAGCTCCAGGGCCCAGATCTTCATTCCCTTTCTCCTCTAGCTGTCCCACGACTGACCGAGAGTAGGATAGAGACTGGTATGCAGGAGAGGATGTTGGGGTCACCCCATGTAACATAGCCGCACACACACCTCCCTGACACCCCCATCGCCTCCCTCGATTTCCGTCTTCCACCTGATCCCTTGCATATGTTATCCGTGCACTGTTTTTACTGCAGGTCTCTTTGCTGAACTCCTTCTCAGCTGGAGCGCAAGGACATCCAGCACCAGGGACTGTGTCTAGCACAGAGGAGCTGCCTGGCATTTGCCAAGCAAGTGGACGTTTCAGGGGACCTGGCCAGTGGATATGTGAGGGGCGGGAGAGGAAGGGGATTCAAGTCACAGACAGAAGGAGAGGAGGGGGAGAGGAAATGGGGAAAGGGAGGGGGAATCTGCGAGGCTGGAGATCAAGAGGGACAAGGCTGGTGGCTCTGGATGGGGTCATAGGGTTGGGTGGCCTTGACAGAGTCCTGCCCTACTTACTGGCTGAGCGGTCCTGAGGCCTCAAGCTAATAGGGGCCCCTTCAAGGTATCACCAGCCCCAGCACCCACTGATTCCCAAAGCTGCTGTGCCCCTCCCCCAGACACCACTGGCCTGGAGCCACACGCCTACAGGTGGGGACGGGATGTGGAATCACAAGACACCTCTCCAGGTCTACCCTGTGACTACCTTCCCTTGCTAAGAATCCATCTAAGAGTGGGACCGGCAGGCAAGGCCAGAGCTGCCGGCAGACATCACCAATCGATCCCCACACCACTCCTGTCCTGCCCTCGCCAGGCAGCCCCGAGGTTTTGACTCTGGACTCCAACCTGCCCTTAGAAAGAGGCAGGGAGACCAGAGCTGCTCTGCCCAAGATGCCCCTGAGCCAGCCTGGGAGCCAGCCTCGGCACCGCTCTCCCCGCAGCAGGCCACTCCGCAGGGGAGAGGAAGCCGGGCTCGGCCCTGATAACCCACAGCCCCACGGACCGCTGGCGAGGACTCGAGTGGTACTCCCTACAGCAATCCCTTTGGGATTTGGGCCTAATCCCAAGCACGAGGGCAGGCTAGGGAAGGATTTGGTTTCATTCCTTCAGATGCCCAAGCCTTGGCCTGAGCCCCAGGGCGCAGGAGTGAAGGCGCGGGGCTGCGCACCCTCTACCAACAAAGGCTTCCTTTATTAAATAGAGATCGTGTTACATTCCATTCGAAGGAGGAAATCAGCCATGGTGAGGGATGTGTCCAGGTTGGACCCCGGTCCTGAGTGGGTTGTGAGGGGCGAGGAGGGGCCTGCATCCTGCCCACCCTCCCCCAGTTCTGTGTGCAGGGCTTGGCAACCTCAACCCCCACGGTCTGAACGGCCACCCACAGCTGAACACAGACACGGGTGTCCTGAGGTCCTGTCTGTGTTTTACTTTGGGAGAAAAGTATCCTAATCCTTCCAGTGGTGGGGGGCAGGGCCTCCTGGAGCACAAGGCTCAGATGGAGGAGGGGGAAGGTCAAGTTCGATGGTGGGAGAAGGGGCCTTGACCCATCTTAAGAACTATTCAGGGTAGCTCTCAAGCACATGGTGTGCAAGTCCCTGACAGCCCCTTGCAGCCACACTGCCCCCACGGGAATGGGAGAGATTGGCCACAAGGGGGTGCTGGTGGCCCGGGGCTCAGGAACTGAGGTGGGGGATACCCTGGAGGTCAGGCCACCCAGCGAGATCCCTTTCTGAGGACATCTCGGCAACAAGGTGACTGCAAGCAGCAGCTCCCAGGACTGCAAAGTGGGGGGAGGGAGGGGGTGCTGAGCCCCTGAGTGTGAGTCCAAGCTCCTTGGTCTTTGGTGCTCTCTTGAAAGTCCCCTGGTGGCTGTCGGGCCACTGGGGAAAGGTGAAGGGTCAGCTCATGAGGTCCCATCTGTCCCAGGATGAATGTTTGGTACCAGCTCAGCAAGGCCTCCGTGGCCTGGCCGACTGTCCGTCTGCTCGGCTTCTGGCTCAGGGCTGGCGCCAGGACCCTGTCTTCCTGTCTGTCTGTGCCGGAGCAGGTGCTGGCTGCGGCTCAGAGCCCCCCTCCAGGCCCCGCCCGGCCGTGCCCTAGGCCTCCTGGGGAAAGAAGCCAAGTTTGGCCAGCGACATCTCCTTCCGCAGCCTCGTGATCTCCCAGAACATCGGCTCCGCTGCAGGCAGAGAAGGTGGACGGCTCAGTGACAGGGCCACCTCGGACAGATGGCCCGGCCCCTGTCCTCTGACTTTGGTCAGGGCAGCTGGCAGGCACCCTCGAGCTCCCTGGTCCCCCAGGACAGAAAACCTCTTACAGGCTCCACACTGAGGCCTTACAAACTGTTGAAGGCTGAGCCCATCCGCACCACACCAGTGGTGGAGGTGACCTCACCCCTACAGCCTGACACCCTCACACATGAACACACTGCCACACATTTGGAGGCGATTTCCAACCCATATCCTTGGGGTCTCAGAGACCCCGAGCAGTCACCAGAGCCATAGATTCAGTCCAAGTTCCTCTCCAAGGCCTTGACCGCCAAGCTGGGGAGGAGAGGCTCTTACTCTAAACGGTCTGGACACCAGGGAACCAAATCTGGTAGAGGGGCGGGCAGCTAGACCTTGCAGAATAGGGCTGAAGGGGATAACAGGTGGGCGTAGGACCAGCCCTGGCAGGGATGAAGTGGGAGGCAGCATTCAGTGTCAAATGACTGTGAGGGGGTCACCCCCAGCAGGGAGGAGACTCACAAGGGACACCCCATCGTGCAGGGCTTCCGATGCCAGGCTGGGAATAGGGAGCTCCCGGGCCTGGGAGAGGTTTCTGGGTGGGAGAAGTCAGCCCGACCTGGCAGACCCTGGCAGAGTCCTCCCCTCCGTCAGGGCAAAGCGCGCGGGTTGACCCCTCGGATGCTGGCCCGCCCACCCTCTCGCTCCGCCCCTTCACTCCCAGGCGCCACCCCCTCCGGCCACCAGGGGGCGCTCACCCTCCTGCCGCACGAGGCCTTGCTGGATGTAGCGGATATAAGTGAAGAAGTTGCACACCGCGGTGATCTGTGGACATAAGCGGAGAGGCTGTGACCTGCCGGTCCCCACACAGAGGGTCCCCCCCAAAAAGCCAGGTCAGATCAGAGACCCAAGCGAGAAACCCCACGTCCCATCAAAGCTAGAGAATGCTCCTTGAGTTGAACAGGACTGGGCTCTAAGATTTAATTACCAACAGTGGTATTATTACTACTCCTAGTAAAAACAATAGCAGCTCCTAGCACGTAATCCGGCACACGTATCCAAGTGAGGCAGACATGCTTATCATTCCCATTTTACACATGGGGAAAACAGAGGCTCCAAGAATGAAGCTACCGGATGTCAGTTAGAGGCCACAAAGCAGTCAGTGGCTGAGCTGGAAGATAAAGCCAGGGGGCCTGCTCCGGGTGCTGGAGGCCCTGGCCGGCCAGGCCTTGGCCCAGCGTTCCTGGCAATGCCAGGCTGGGCAGGGGGAGCCGAAGCCGCTTACCAGGGTTACCCTGGATCCCTGAGTCCGAAGCCCTTGGCCCGCAGCCTGCTCCACCCCAGGCCCTGCGCTGGGTACCGCGGACCCCAAGTTGGCTCAGAACTTGGCCTTTCCGGGAAGGCTCACATACTGCAGAGAGGGTGCTGCTTGGGGCCCTGCCCGGGGCCCTTCCCCAGGCTGGGCCTCCTCCCTCTCCCCACTACTGAGAGTGTTGTCCACTAATGGCCCATAGGGGCCCCTCCATACCCCTGTCCCCTGCCTACCACAGCCAGTGACGGGCTGGCATGTGGCATATACAAGGCCAGCCCCCTCGCCTCAGGGTGGAACCCCCTCCGGGCTCCAGAGTCCCCATGGATAAGATCGCAGGCCGACTCCAGTTGAGGCCAGACACTCCTCTGCCCACACCAGCCCGCATTCACACCTCCTGGGAATAGCATAGAATCTCCGTCTTGAGCTCAGCCTCTAGGGAACTCAGCCTGAGACAGGGCAGAAGGTGGCTGGCAGCTGTTTCCAGGACAGCCCCTACTGAATGTCCAGCGCTCTGGGGGAGGGACATCAAGTATGTGGGAGCTCACAGGGCCCGGAGTTGCAGGGAGGAGACAGCACTCCTGGGCCCTCACCCACACAGGCATCCTGGCCAGGAGGACAAAGCAGGTGCTGGGGGGTTCGGGCAGAGGTCGGTGCAGGAGAAGCTCGGGGGCCAGGCCGTGGGGTTTCCCAGCGGCCAGCGGGCCCCCACGGGAGGCTGGGGAGCAAGGCTCACCAGGGCTGCATTTTGGGGACACAAATCTCTTTTCCCTAGGGATTCCACACTCCTTGGTCTCTTCAGAGGGTGGGGACCACATCCTAAAACTTCACACCCATCTCCTCTCCCATCGCAGCTCTGCCCAACAGAGAGACATAGCAGGCCTGGAGGAAAGAAGGTTCTAGATGGAGTTTTGCCAGGCCCAGAATGTCTGGCATGGGTCCTTCTGGTGATCCCTGGTGGGGATCAGAAAAAGGCCACTGGAAAGTGCTCTGGGCACAGATGCCCAGAGCACAGGCTGTAGTGAAGGCAGACTGGGTTCAGAATGGGGAGCCCCCAGGTCAGGCCCACCCCCCCGAAGGCATAAACTCCTCATATGCAAATGGGGGCTCACTCACTGCTGCAGGGTTGGCCAGGACAGGACACCGGACACCCTGCAGAAGCTGTCAGGACCAGACAAGTGGCCAGCAAGGGGCCACGTGTTCACTTTGATCCCTTTGCGGAGCCTCAAGCAGGTCGAGGGTAGGAGATGGTTCCTAAAAGAGGGCCCACCCACACTGTGTCACCTTTGCACGAAGCTTCAGAACCTTCTAACACATTCTCTTTGGCTCCTCACAGTCACGTTCATGGTCTGTGAGAGGGCAGAGGAGCAAGAACCACCCGACCCTTATCCCGCAGCTCGGTGAGGTCTAATGATCCAGCCTGGGCCACTCGGCACGTGAGGACGGAGGCTGGGATCCCCGGAGCCCGCGTGGCACCTGCCACTGACGGTCAGGCTCGAGTAACAGACATGCCCCAGAACGTCCTCAAAAGCCTGGGGCCGGAGCCTGAGCTGGGAGTCAGGAGCCTGGCACTTTAACCTGAACTCTAATGTCACTCCCACGGTGAGGTTCCGGCAAGCACGCAGGTACCTCAGTCCTTCCCCCACAGGAACTGCATCCTGCCAAGAGCCATGGGAGCTCAGAAGAGGGCCACTGTCCCCAGGAAGGAAGCAGCCAGCCTCCCCCTTGACTGTAGCCCGTGAGACCCGGAGCAGAAGATCCAGCTAAGCTGTGTCGACTCGTACCCCACGGGGACCGTGATAATAAATGGGCGTTGTTTTAAGCCACTAAGCTTAAGGTCGTTTGTTCTGCAGTAACAACAAACTAATTCACCAGGCTTGACTGTGGGGCCCGAGTCAGTCTCTGCACCTCTCTGAGCCTGTGCCCTGCTCTGCAGATCAAGGTTGTGCTCCCAGGCCTGGGGTTCGGAGCCCCAGCCCAATGTGCCCCTGAGAAGCCCCTGAGAAGTCAAGTGGCACTCCCACTGGGTGACTTACCCTGGCCCGGGAGGATGGCGAGATGTAGTAGTGACTCTCAGAGTCCCCAAGCCGGATTCGGTGGCGACAGGCACGAGCCAGCCCACTCAGGGCGCAGGTACTAGAGGCAAGCAGAGGGGGCCATGGGGGCGGGCTGAGGTTCACCCACCCACAGCCAGAAGGATGCACGGGGCGGGGCAGGAGGGAGAGGCAAACAGACAGGGCGGCAGCCTCCCCATCGACCCCAGCTTCCCAAGGAGCCCAGGGCCAGGCCAAGGAAGGGCCATCCCTAGAAGTCCCTGAGACAGATCTCTGAACTAAGCTGGATCCCACGCCTAAACCCCTCACCTCGCCACCGTTGGGCAGGAGAGCTCAGTCAAGCTCATGGCAGGTGCACCACAGCTCCATTCTCTGCAGCCCCCTTACTTTACTGGGGCCCTCAGACTCAGGCGTGCCTCCCCCAACTACACAAGAGTCTACTCTCTCCTCCACTCTGTCACCAAGTCCCCAGGCTAGGTCATGGAAGGGGCCTTTTGCCTGGACCCCCTCAGGGTCCATGTTACAGCCAGGGGCTCCTCCAAAAGCCCCTATCTGGCCCATCATCTTTCCCTGCCACTTTCCTACTGCCCAGGAAACCATTATGGAGAATCCAGAGCAGAGGAAGGTTAGGCAGGCTACTAGGATGCGGGACTTATCAGTGCCTTTGCTGCCTCCAGATTCACTGTGACTCTGATTGGACTCAGCAACCCTCTTTTCAGGGCACATCTCTTGATGAACTTGTGAAATGCTGGCCTAGTGGCTCAAAGCCCAAACCTCATTCAAGGCCCTTTAAACTCTGGCCCCAAACATCTTCTGTGGCCTCAGCCCCATCTCCCTACCCACCCACAAACCCAGTGATGTTTCCATTCATACCGTGGCTTCTCACACCTTCATTCATTTTGTTCCCTCTGCCTGAAAGGCCCATCCCTACTTGGCAAACTGCCATTCATCCCTCAAAATCTGGCTCAAATGTTCCCATTCGTGACAAGGCTCCCCACCATGGGGAGGTCAGATCCTGCGCTGCCGAGAGAAAGTGCTCCCCATCTCTGCCCCTTGCTCTACTGTGGCTATTTTGTTCTGCTGCGAGCCCCGCTCGATGCCAACTGAGTGGCAGGGAAGACAAAATACGAGGGCTGTTTGGTTATTTATTAGCAGAAGGAGAGCCAACAAGTGACTTCACTTACACATCAGTCGGGGCCCAGAGCCCATTGTGGAAGAGAGAGTTGGGGGTGGCAGAGAAATGTCTGTCAGGCTGGGAAGAGGGAGACTCCAGCTCTCAGACCCCCTGGATGGCCTGAGGGTCCATGACTAAAGGCAGGAACTTCTGCCAAAGATCCCTCGCTGCCTCACAGGGGGGTGGCCCAGCGCTTCCGCACTCTCACCCAGCTGGGCCTGTGTGCCACCCCCGACCCCGCTCCCCTGCTCCTCTGAGGTCTCCCAACCCAACCCCAACCCCGGCAGGCAGGCTGGAGGCTCGATCCCCAGCCGCCCCCTCGGTAGAGCTCAAGTCTAGGTGTGGCTCTCCCAAGTGTGCAGGGAAGGACAAAGGGCGCCAAGCTTACTTGGTGCTGCCACACTCGACCGCGGCCACCTTCACGCTGGGTGGCGTCTGTGAAGCCACGGGCTCAATGGTGAGCGTGTTGTCCTCCACAGCGGCCCGTACGAGTGCCGAGAGCTGCAACAAAGCCGGACAGCAGGCGGGAGCGGTGAGGGGCTGACCTCCGGCGGAGGGGCTGGGCCCCGGGGCTGGCCGCCCTCTGCCCCCGGGCCTCACCTCCTGCATGGTGAAGTCCAGGCAGGGGCCCACGTCCTCCCGGTACACCCTTTCGAGGAAGGGACAGGTCTTGTCCAAGGTGGGGGATTCCCTCCAGGCCTGGAACTCTGCGAACAGGGTTGTGTCCACCTGCAGAGGAGGGTGAGCCGGGCCCAGTGGTCAAGGCACTGGGGCAGAGGAGGTGGGGGGAGGGGCCTACATGGCCGGGACGGGCAGAGCCAACAGAGGTGGGGAGCCGGGAGGTTGCCGGACAGGCCCTGGCCCACCAGCAAGTCTGTCCCCCGGGGCCGAGCAGGAGAACAGAGAGTCAAGGCGGGACCGTCTCCTTCCTTTTTGCGCCAAGGACCCCGGAACTCAAACGTGCAGATCTAGGTGTGCTTTTAGCTTCCTGGCTCTACGTGGGCCCAGGGCCTCGTCCTGAGGACCCTCACTGCCTCCTGGGGGAGGAAACGTCGCAGAGTGGCCCTGCAGCCCCCCCCTTCCCCGTACACACAGGTGCCACAGCACACACAGACACGGGCACACAGAGGGAACACACGCGGGCCGCCTACTCTGGGGAGGCGACTGGCTGGCCGCCCGGGGGCACATGCAGTGTGAGTGGGGGTGGGGGGGTGACGGAGGGGCGGCCCCTCTCTGCGGCCATTACCTGTAGGGAAAAGGAGAGAGAGGTAGCAGAGGTGGAGGTGGGGGCCGTGGGCGGCCCCCCAGGCAGAAGCTGCCAAGCCGGCTCGTAGGTGAGGTGAACGGCCTTGCTGGGGACCACGCAGAGGAGCAGGGAGAGGAGGGGGGCCAGCCCGGGCTGGGTGGGCGGGGCAGACGGACAGACAGACAGGGGCACAGAGACAGACAGGAGGAAGGAGATGTTAGTGTTCAGTCAGAAGCTGAGAGCTCGGAGGGAAGGCTGCAGAGACACAGGGCCGGAGGGAGCTGGGGGCCGCCGTGGTGTCCGAGATGACAGGAAACCGAATTCCAAGACAGCCTTGCTGGGGCTCACTGGGTGCAGCCCTGGGCTGAGCTCCCGGCATGCAGGTCTCGTCAGTGCCTCAGAGCCCCAGGACGCCCTGTTACGTGAAGAGACTGAGTCTCTGACAGGTGACCTCACTCGCCGAGGGACCCGCGGCCAAAGACGTGGCAGGCCACTGCCCAGACTGCCCCAAGGGCCCCATGCACCCAGCTGAGTGGGGGATGGATACAGCCCCCAAACGCTATGCTTGTCGAGGTGCCATAGCCAGAAGGCGCCGAGGACCCTTGAGTCCAGGGATGTCCCCAGATGGTCTTGGGCCTCAGGGCTGTGGGCACACAGGGCCCACGCAGCCTGTCCCCAAGGGCCCAGCAGTGGCTTCCCCTTAGGCCAAAGGAGTGTTTCTGGAACTCCCCCATCCCCCCAAGCAGGGCAGGCCCTCAGGCCCAAGGACAGCCTCAGGCACACAGAGCATCACCTACTGCTTAGGGCGGCCTGGAGGGGCTATGAAGCCCCCCACGTGTACAACCAGGGGCCGAGGGCCAAACCTCCCATCACAGGAAACCTGCCCAGCCCTCCCAGAGGACACAGAGGCCCGGAAGGGGCAGGCCAGTCTCTAGGTCACACACTGCCTGCCTCACTTTGGCCACTGTCTCCCTCTTCCGTGCCCACGGCCCACCCACCCACCACCCCTCACCTCTTTGCCCTCCTTGTCCGGGGAGAGGGTGTGTCCGGCAGCGGGGCACACAGCGGGGCAGGGGGTGCTGCTCGTGCTCTTATGCCGCAAGTGGCCCTTGCGGGGCCCGGCCTTGGTGGGACTCAGCAGCTGTGGGTGGAGCTCGCGGTTGGGAGAGGCTGGTGTGGACGTGAGGACCAGTGTCTTCAAGGCTGTCACCTCTGCCTGCAGCATGTCGATCTGGCCGGGGGGGCGGGGGGGGGCGCAGGTGGATGTCAACCTTAGTCCAGGGAAGCATTAGCTGCCCCTGCCTGCCACCCCAGCTCAGGGCTCTGTGACATGGGCCTGTCTGGGAGCTGGAGGGGCCTCCCACTGAGGGACCCTGGGGAGCCGGGATTTTACAGACGTACAAATAGACTCCAAGAGAGGATGCTACTTGTCCAGGCTCCCACAGCCAGACTCCGGGGCTTCTGCCTTGTAAAGGAGGTATGGAAGGAGGAAGAGGAAATTACACTGGCGACGGGATCCTCCCTGCCCTTGAAAGGCCCCAGAAAGGTCTCAGGTGCGGTGGGCACACTGCCGGGGGCCCCGGGGAGCTGTTTCAGCTGTGCCGTCTCAGACACCTCTGCCTCGCCGTCCTGGGCCGTGGGCTGCCCATCCCTGCCACCCACCCGGATACGCTGGGGTCCCACCAGGTAGCAAAAGCCCAGCGCTCACGGGGCTGGAGGGGGGGGCGTGGGGGCTTTGGTTTGGCTCCGGGCAGGCGGGGGCCTCACCTTGCCCCGTGCCTCCTTCAGCTGCTTTTCCGACGCTGCCTGTTTCATGTTGGCTTCCCGCACCATCTTGTGGGCTTCCTGGGAAGAAGGAAGGCTGTGTGTGAGCGCGGAGGGGCAGGTGGGCACCCAGCAGACACATCCCCACCCCACCCCCCCCCGCCGGACCGGCCACCACACCTCGAACAGGCTGGCTGTCAGCTCCTCCAACTCCCGCTCCAGCTGCTCCCGCACCCTGGACAGCCGCTCACACTCCTCGTCCTTCAGCTTCAGCTCCTGGGGGGGTTCAAGGTGGGTGGCTGTGAACCCCACAGGGGCCCCAAGCCCGGCATGGATGGGACCAGGCACCCCATTCGTCCTACACCCATCAGGCTCCCTTCCTTGCCTGGGTCCTCTCACGTGGGAGGACCACCTAAAAAGTCTAGTAGAGCTTAGATCAGGCTTTCAGAGAAGTCAGGACTCGAGAAGTCCTTCAAAAGTCACGAGCAGAACTCGTCTGCCCTCTGCCCTTCCCTCATGCCCAGCACAGGCCTCCGTGCCGCTGGCCCTGACAGGTGCATGGTCTCTCCGGGTGCTCAGAGAGAGCCTGCAGCTCCTCCAGGAGGGCCCGTGGTCCCCGAAGCCCCTCCCGCCACCCTCAGAGCCCCCACCTTCTGGGCTTTGTGCAGCTCCTCCTTCAGGAACTCGGAGCCCTTCTCGCGGATCTCCATGGAAGAGCTTCGCAGACGCAGCACGTCCAGCGGGGTGGCCGCAGGGCCCTCCTCACCTCGGGCCTCCTCCCCTGCAGGGGTCTCCGCCAGGCCTCTTGGGGACTCCCTGTGGCTTTTGCAGGGGCCCACGCTCTTCCAGGGGACGGGGACAGCCTCAAGGGGCGGCGGGTGGCCCTCGTCTGGGTGGGGCTGGCTGCGAGGCAAACAGCAAATACACAGTGGGGTCCTGAGGCCCAGAGCGGAGCCCAGGGACCAACCCTGCCCAGCGCACCTGCCACTCTTGTCTGTAAAACAAGGACTCTACCCGCGAGGCTGTCACTGGGCTGTCACGAGGGCAGAAGGACCAAACATGAGGTCACCCAGAGGCAAGGCCAGGACTCATCTTTGTCAATCACCCTCTCCAGACCAGGGCCTAGGGCTGAGCTTGGCACACAGTAGGTGCACAGTAGGTGCTCAGTTTGTTTGTGCAGCAGAAGACTAGAAATGCATCGGTGCCGAGGAGAATCTGAGTTTCCGCCTCTACAAAGCGGGGACATCCCAATGGCCCTACCTCCAGGGTCACTGAATAGATGTGACCTGCCTAAACCCTTGGCACCCAGGAGGCACTTAAATGGGGCCCGCCTTCTTGGCTATTGTTAATGCAAATTTTATGCAAATGATACCCCCTTTAGGGTGGGGGGGAGAGGAAGGACCCAACCAGGGCAGGCAGGGCTGAGGCAGGAAGTTTCTGCCCAATGGCCCAGGCAAGGCCAAGGCCGACTGTCTTCCTGCTCCCAAACCCTGTGGGGAAGCAGTCCCGTCTCTCTCCGCTGGTCTGCCTTGGGAGCTCAGGCAAATAACCCCTCTCTGGGCCTCAGGAGCCTTCTCTCCCTGAAGCTGAAGACCCTAGAGGTAGTGTGGGGGCCGTCAGCCTCTGTCCCCCACCCCCCACTGTCTACTCACACCCCTCACTTTGCAACAGACCCTGGGGAGGGAGGGAAGGAGGGAGGCAGGAAGGGAGAGGGCTCGGCCAGCACCGGTTTGTGCCAGCACAGCACCTCTGGACTCGCTCAGTCAGCAAAAGCTGGCGACTCCTGAGCTAGCAGCTTCGGAGCCGGAGCCGCGGTGGCTGGGCTGAGCGTGAGTGGCCGGGCCGGGCCACTGATAACAGTGGGGAAGTGGAGGGGAGGGGGCTCAGCGGGACCCACACAGGAGGGAGGAAAGACAAGGCCAAGGGGTCAGGAGACTCGGGACTGCTGAGGGGAAAGTGTGAAAGGCAAGACTGGGGATCAGTCGCTCCTCCTTGTGACCCCAGCACGGTCACCAAGCAGCCCCTGGGCATCGGTGTCCCTCCCAGGGACCCCAGCAATGAGCTCATTCCCAGCCCTTCACATGGCCCTGTCCAGGCGCCCAGCCCAGCCTGCCCTCTGCTTTGGAACTGGCCCAAGGGTGGCCTCACGGGTCCTTGCCTGAGCCCTGCCTGGCAGGGACCCCGGGCTCTGATAGATGAAGTGGGAAAACACATCTATCACTCCATCAACAGTGTTCATGCCAGACAGGGATCTTTCCTAACACCCTCGGGGGTGGGGGAGAGTCCTCGTTGGCGAGGGGTCCCTGCGGCAGTGCTACAGCACCCTGGGCTGGGGTCCACCCCCAGGGGACTCTCCCATGCCCGATGCTCCCTGGGACTCTCTGTCTACACCGTCTCATTTAGAGCTCTCTCTCAATAGTATTTGTGGGACAGTCCCCTGCCCACAGACGAGGGACAGGGTCTACCAAAGCACAGAACTTGCCCGGGTTCACACAGCTGCTTGGTGCCCGTGTTGGACGGACAGCCAGGCCTTCGGCCCAAAGCCCCCATCAGGTGGGCGGGGGTATGAGTGTGAAATCACGACATCAGCCTCAGGATCAAGGTCTACAAGGCCCAGGCAGACACAGGAGGCTCCTCCTTGCCACAGCAGGGAAATGTGACCCAGTTCTGGCCCGACCGACTTCTCAGCCTCTGCTCAGGCCCAGACACTGCCTCCCAGGAGGGCAAGGCCAGGGTCTGTGCCAGGCTCTGACCTGGGGTACGCGCCAGCCCCTGTGAATGTCACTAAAGTCCTCTGAAGCTGCTTCCCACCTGTGGGCTGGGGGTAAAAACCGAGAGTCCCTGGATAAGCACCATGTAAAGACCGTGCCATCTGTGGTCACATTTGGCAGATACCCCTGCCGTGCCTTCCCAGGCTCTGGGTCCCACAGCTGAAACCGCAGGCCTTGGGGAGGTCCTTCCAGCTGAGAGCCTGGAGGCCTCGGGCCCAGGGCCATCTCCTCAGGTGAGAGAGGATGGCCCTAGTCACTCAGGCTTGGAGGGGACAGCAGACCCCAACTCAGGGACTGCACATTTCAACAAGGTTGGCAAGAACTGTGGGCCAAGGCTGGGGGTGACCCAGGCAGGACCCCAGCCCCGGTGCCTTTCTCTCTGCAAGGACCACCCCAGACATCACCCACGTCCCTGCCGAGGAGAAAAAGACCTCCGGCCCCTCCCAGGAGGGCCACCAGTGTGGTCTGGGCCGCGGGCCAGAGTGAAAGACACCAACTCCCCTGCTGGTCCCAAGGGCATGAGCTGGGGTTCTGGCCGGACTGTCCCCCATTATTTTCCCAACAGGCTCTCACTTCAGCCGCCTGCAGGGAAGGATGGGGCCCTCTTCTGCAGCCAGAGGAAGCAGTGACCTCCCCACTACTCACCCCCCCCAACCCCCCGCCAGTGAAAAAGCCCAACTTGAAAAATCCTAATGGCCAAAAGCATAAGAAGAGCATGACCACCCCGTAATCCCCAACCACCCAACACTGGGGCCCGGGGTTCAAGTTCAAGAAAGACATCACCTCCCCCTCCTCCCCCCTCCCTCCCCTCACCACCTCAGTACTGGGAGGGGCGCTTGAATCTGCAGGCCCTCCCCTCACACTTCTGGGCTGCGAGGCGACTCAGGAATTTCAGGAGGGACCCCAGTCCCCGCAGGTCCAGCCTCAGCGTCACAGTCCCCGCAGGTCCAGCCTCAGCTCACACGGCTCAGCAGCTAAACCAGGGGCTGGCAAACCTCCCCAGGAGCACCTGCCTTGGTGGGGAACCCACTCCTTTAACAACCCCCTCCCTGCCCCTCAGCCCAAGTCCACAGCCCTCTGCCAGAACCTTTTCAGCCCCCATTCCCCGCAGAAAACAGAGTCCAGCATCCACAACACCGTGCAGAGGCCCCTGGGAAGGGGTGAGAGACAGGAGATAGTAAGAGTCTAGGTCAGAGGAAAGTGGGAGCCTCCAACACCCCCCCCCCATCTTGAACGGACTCCGCTGCCTGGAGCCCACGACAGTTTACACAGGAAAGGCCCCACTGGGTCACTTCCCCAGGAAACACACAAGGGGGTGGGGGTGCAGGGACACCACTTTCACCCCCCACTCCTCCCCTAGGCCAGCCAGCATGGCTTTGTCTCTATCCACAAAAAACGGCGAAATGAGAATGAGGTCCCCAGATTCTATGGTCTCCAGTCACCCAGCGACCCCCGAAGGGCCAGGAGGGCCTGTGCAGAGGTCACTGCTGGGGCCAGCGGGGATCCTGCGTGCCTCTTCCCATCCCCAGCACAACCGGCCTGCGGTGAGGTCTTTCTGCCCCTCGGTCTCTCCCCGTCCACTGACCAGGGCCGAAGACACCTCTTTGAATTAAAGATCCCTGAACGACAGGTTCATTAAAGAAGCTGGAAGGGTGGTTAGGGAGGTTCTGGAACTGGAGGGAGCAGAGGCTGGGACCCACTGGGACCGCTGGACTCGGGCCGGGGCAACAGGGCGGCTGAGGCTGATCCCTACTACAGGGCGGTGCCACGGCACAGGGGCCAAGTTCAGACTCGTGCTCATGCACCCACAGGGGTTCCCGTAAGCCCTGAGGGCGCCAAGGCCGCCAGCCAGGTGACTGGGGACTGGGGGTCACGGGCGTCCCAGGAAAGGCTTCCTGCATGGGCTCCCTGACTGGCCTGCAAGCCCAGCCAGGCAAGGCTGACAGAGAGGGGCTAAGTCTTCAGCTCCAGCCCTTCGAGCGGGGTCAGAGTCCCAGCCTCGCGAGGCCGCTGCAGGGAGATGCGCTCCGTAGCCCGCTTCGGACAACGAGGCGCATGATGTTCAGAGGGGGCTGGTGACCTGACCGGAACAGACAGCAAAAAAGTGATAGGGTGGGAACTGAACCCAGAGTCCCAGCTCTATCGCATCATGTGATGCATCACCCAGAGAAATCCAGACGGGAGGAAAGGGGATGAATGGTGGTTTTGGAGAAGTGGGACAGGATGCAGATGGGGTTTGAGGAAGTCTGTGGGCCGGGAGGGGGTGTGCCCAGGGCACACAGACACAAAAGATTCAGGGCTGGGGGGACTGTGTGGCAGGACATGGGGCTGGAGAGAGCGACAGAAAAAACCAAACAACCAACCAACCACAGTGCCTAGGGCCAGAGAGCCAGTCTGGAGGTCTGAGGAGCAGCCATCACCAGGGTTGAGCAGGGCTGGTTCCAGAAGAATAAGACCACGGCATCATATGTGTCACGCATAGGAACAGAATGCCAGGCATGCAAACAGAGCGGGACCCCAGCGTGGGGGACGAGCAGGTGAATGGACCAATCCAGCAAGGGGGAAACAGAGCAGGAAGGTGGAGGTCAGGAACAGCCTCGGGATGCAAAGCAGGGAGGTTGGGACACCTGAACCCCGTGGACCAGACCAAGCAAACCTTTCCCCCCCATAACCCCCAGGCTGCCAGCCCAGCCCAGACAGGAAATCCAGCCCTGCGTCTCCACTGAGAGCCAACAAGGCCTGGGAGGGTGAGGGTTCACTCTGTGCCTGTGCCCGTGCCGAGCAGGGGGCACACATCACATGCCTCACATCCTCCTGCTTCGTCCTGGAAGAATCTGACGTCCTCTGACCTTGAAAGTCCAGGACGTATATAGTAGGCGTCTACCATCTGCTAGGCACCCCACCAGCTCCGATCCACCCGATCTGCATGACTGCACAGAGCCCCCTTAGGACCACATTCTAACTGTTCTGCTCCCCCTCTAACCCCTTTTGCGAGCCCCTATTGGGTACAAATCCCGGGCAGACTAGGGGAGAGTCTAGGACAAGCAAATTCTAAGGAGGGTCTGAGCTCCACACACGTACAGATTAAGGAACAGCAGGAAATATAGCTCCACCCATTGAGGGAGCAAGGCT